TTACATATCGCATCACCCTGTCTTGCGTGATTCGAGCTGTACCACTAACTTACGCGTTGTTTTCAACGCCTCTTGCAACACGAGCAACAACTCCTCTCTCAACGATCATCTGTTGATCGGTCCGAGGTTACAAACAAGACCTCCCCGCGATACTGTTGCGCTGGCGGCAGTGGCGCCTGGTCTACACTGCGGATATTGCTCAGATGTTCCGCCAGATCCTCGTGCATCCGTCTGACACGGATTTTCAGAGGATTCTTTGGCGTTCGTCGGCTGACTCGCCGATCGAACGCTACCGACTTCTCACGGTGACGTACGGGCTGGCCCAGCCCCGTACCTTGCGATGAGAGTCCTGAGGCAGCTCTCCATTGATGAAGGAGCTCTCTATCCCGCTGCCGTTTCGATTCTGCGCGAGTCCTTTTATGTGGACGACGCGCTTTTCGGCGCGGACGACGAGGCCTCGTTAATTGAGGCTCGTATACAACTGTGGAAATACTAAGAAAGGGTGGGTTTCAGCTCCGTAAATGGCATCCAACTCCCTCTCCCTTCTTCAGGGGCTCTCGGCTCATCAGCCGGAAGTGAAAAATCACTTGTTAGTAAAAGAGGATACTCTCAAGGTCCTAGGTCTTTCGTGGCACTCGCAGGACGACTCGTTTCAATTCGTGGTCACACCGCCGAAAACGGTCAATCCAACGAAGCGCTCAATTCTCTCTTTCACGGCTAAGTTGTACGACCCGCTCGGTTGGGCGGCTCCGTTCGTTGTAACCTCTAAAATTCTGTTACAAGAGTTATGGCTTCTCAAGTACGACTGGGATACGCCTCTCCCTGACGAGTTACGCGAACGATGGGAGAGTTACTCCAGGGACTTGCAATCGTTAAATCTTGTTCGGATACCTCGTTGGACCGGTAAACATTGCGAGAATCTCGCGTTAGAAATACACGGGTTCGCGGACGCATCAAATCGAGCTTATGCGGGCGTAATATACATTCGCGTTATTCACGCGCCGACCAGATTTCAAATCAGCTTGTTGGCCGCTAAAACTAAAGTCGCGCCGATCAAGACCGTGAGCATCCCGCGATTAGAATTGAACGCCGTCGTCTTGCTCAGTCGCCTAATCAAATGGACCTTGACCGCCCTGGCTTTGCCCCCGATTCCCGTCTACGGATGGACGGATTCTACCATCGCCCTTGCGTGGCTTCGTCAACATCCATCTAAATGGAATACTTATGTTGCCAACCGCGTGTCGGAAGTGCAAACGACTCTGGCTTCCGCTCGCTGGAATCACGTCCCTTCAGGCGACAATCCGGCAGATTGCGCCTCGCGCGGTTTGTCCGCTTCCGAACTAGTTGTCCACCCGTTATGGTGGACTGGCCCTCGATGGCTTCATCAGCCACCGACTTCCTGGCCAACTCTTGACATTTCTACTCCGTTCGATTCTACAACCGAATTGCAAGTGTCGACGGAGAGGAAAAAATATGTGACGCTCCACGTACAAGAGTCCGCTGAGTGGGAACTTCCACGCAAGTTCTCCCGCTGGACGAAGCTCATCCGAGTAACCGCCTACGTTTACAGATTCGTACTACGAACAAGAGGAAAAGGTGATTCTCGCCACGATCTTCCCGCCTTTCTGAGCGCCGACGAGCTCAGGAAGGCGGAGATATTCTGGTTTAACTATTTACAACGGAAATTCTTCGAGCGAGAATTGCGATCATTAAAAAATAAAAGAACTCTGCCACACTCAAGCCCTCTGCGTGGACTGAATCCTTTCCTGGGAACAGACTGTTTAATCCGCCTTGGCGGGCGGTTGAAAAACTCAGCGCTCGGTTATGACGAGCGACACCCGATTATCCTTCCGAAACACCACATAACCAATCTCCTGATTGCGCAAGCTCACACCGTCACTCTCCACGGAGGAGTGCAACTGGTACTGCGCACACTGCGTCAGCGGTTTTGGCTTTTAAGCGGCCGCAACTCCGTAAAGGCGCATCTTCGGAAATGTGTCATTTGCGCGCGACACTCCGCTCGATTGTCTACTCAGTACATGGGAGACCTCCCCGCGGCTCGAGTCACTCCTTCCGCTCCGTTTACTCACTGCGGAGTGGATTACGCTGGCCCTCTCCACGTAACTTCCTTCGTAGGTCGAGGACAACGTGCTCGGAAGGTGTATATTGCTCTGTTCGTTTGCCTCGCCACTAAAGCGATCCACCTCGAGATGGTGGAAGATTACTCAACGCCCAGTTTTCTAGCCGCCTTTCATCGATTTGCCAGTCGGCGAGGATCACCTCGTCATCTCTATAGCGACAACGGCACCAATTTTCGTGGTGCCGACTCCGAACTTATGAGACACTTTGCCTCCGTTATCGGAGATCCTGATTTACAGAGCGCGATCGCCAATGACGGAGTGGCCTGGCACTTCATTCCCTCCGCTGCTCCGCACTTCGGCGGTCTTTGGGAGGCCGGGGTCAAGAGCTTCAAGACGCACTTGAAGCGAGCCGTTGGGTCTCATACTCTATCGCGGGCTGAACTCGCTACGCTTTGTGCAAGATCGAAGCTTGCCTAAACTCGCGACCCATCGCTGCGCTCAGCGATGACCCGAGTGACGTGTCGGCGCTCACTCCGGGTCACTTCTTGATAGGACGGCCGCTTGTAGCCGTTCCGGAGGAATCGACACTTGCGATCGACGCGAGTAGACGCTCACGATGGCAGAACGTTCACGCCATGCTAGAGACAGTTTGGCGTGCTTGGTCGCAAGATTACTTGCATTCGATTCAACAACGCCATAAATGGCGCAAGCATATGCCAGACCTCGCGACGGGCGACTTAGTAATAATAAAAAAACCCGCTGCTCCCTCCGAGTAAGTGGGACCTAGCGCGGGTGACGCAGACTCATCCGGGGTCTGACGGACACGTGCGGGTTGTCACCGTTCGTACCGCCCAGTCTACCTTGAAGCGACCAATCACGCAAGTCTGTCGACTTCCCGTCGATGATCATTTAGATAAGTCCAATACGTTGAGTAATGAAATTTAATGTAATTTCGAGACGAATACCTTTGCGCGATTCGTCCTTGTTTGTATTCTTTCATGTAACAACCATTCTCCAAGGCTTGCTCTCATTCTTGATTACTAATTTATTTCGCATTCGTCCCGAATGCAAAGCGGGCGGTATGTTGAGAAATACGGTAATATATATATATATTTTTTTTTTATTTTCGGAGCAAACCGTTGAGAATGTTTAAATATCCTTTTCAAGGATGATTGTATTGCGATGGAATTTGAAAAACAGCGTGATAGCCTCGTGATCACTCGCGCCTAATAGGCCGAAGTATCTCGCCTTACTTTAAGGGATCCAATCACGATAACGCGCCCTACGCGCGCTCCAAAACTCGCGCTGTACTCACAGCAGTCTCAATCGAGAGAGCGAAAAGAGAACATTCTTGTACATAGCGTTCTTGTGCTAATAAAAAAAAAATAAAGTTACGATTCGACACCAAGTGCAAAGTTTCATTCAGAAAACACGAACCCGGCGATAACATTAACATATCATTTACTTTGTAGAATACTTGAAAATATTACAATTCTATTTCTTAATAATAAATTAATTAAATTTAATAAAGGACCAAAACATTTTATCGTGTTCTGATATTGGACTTATTAACCATAGCGTGTAATTAAATATTATAGGTCTACGCTTATTGTGATAAAGCTCTTTGATTGTTAATTGACTGAAATATAACCTAAGAGCTTTGGACATTCACATTCCACAGTAATCAAAGAGTTAGGATTATCAATTTTCTTTAAGGTAACGTATTGATAGTTTGTTCATTACTTGTCATAATGCAAATACAATTTGACTTTATCACTTTATAATTATTAAAAATCGTTTTAGAGTGAATCTTATATAACAAGCTTTTTTTGGTTTTCTTCGGAATTTTTTATAAAGAACTCATAAATGTTTTGTATATGTATAAAAAATTTCATTTTAAAAAAGGTAAAAAAAGTTGTTAAGTCCGCGTCAAAAACTATATCTCCAAAATCTTACAGAATCTTAAAACATATCTAAAAATTGCGCTAAGCAAAAATAAAACCTTATTGAAATATTTTAATTTAAAAAAGTTGCACAAAATAGTTGTTTTAATTTCTTATAAAAATAATGAATTTAAAATACATACTGACATTAAAACTTGGGACAAAAAAGATATAAACATTACAAACTTGCGACAAGAAGAAATAAAAAAACATTAAAAACTTGCGAAAAAAAGTAGAACAATTTAATTTAAAAACTTAGCACTGCTAAGCTAAACAACAATTTAACAATTGTAATTGTTGTATTAAACTATACAATTGAAATTTTAATTGAAGTAATATGCAATAATGACATTAGCAATGTTAAGTTTTTAAATTAATTTTTTTTGTCGCAAGTCTTTAATGTTTATATTTTTGTTATCGCAAGTTTTTAATGTCATTATATATTTTAAATACATTATTTTTCAGATATGTTTTAAGATTCTGTAAGATTTTTGAGATATAGTTTTTGACGCGGACTTAACATCTTTTTTTACCTTTTTTAAAATGAAATTTTTTGTACATATAAAAAACATTTATGAGTTTTTTATAAAAAATTCCGAAGAAAACCAAAAAAGCTTGTTACATAAGATTCACTCTAAAACGATTTTTAATAATTATAAAGTGATAAAGTCAAATTGTATTTGCAATATGACAAGTAATTAACAAACTATCAATACGTTACCTTAAAGAATTGATAATCCTAACTCTTTGATTACTGTGGAATGTGAATGTCCAAAGCTCTTAGGTTATATTTCAGTCAATTAACAATCAAAGAGCTTTATCACAATAAGCGTAGACCTATAATATTTAATTACACGCTATGGTTAATAAGTCCAATATCAGAACACGATAAAATGTTTTATTTCCTTTATTAAATTTAATTAATTTATTATTAAGAAATAGAATTGTAATATTTTCAAGTATTCTACAAAGTCAATGATATTTTACAAAAATAATAAAATTTTAATAACTTAAATTGTATATATTTGTTACACGTAACGTTTTCACCAACAGATTTAGAATATAATCATGTTAAATCATTATATTCCTTATTAATTTGATTGCATAGAAAATATTTAATTATCACGCACATGATTTTATATAATAAACAATTATCTCATCAATATGAATATGTGCAGATATAATATAATAAATATAAATATGTGAATATATTATTCTGTTTGCAATTTTTAATTATTAAATTATATTATTTCCAAATTATATGCATAATAGATATGCAACAAAACTATTATTATTAACAATATATATTTGCAATCCAGATATTATATGAAACTATTCACACACAAGAAAAATAATATTTTAAAAAGTAATTGCTGGTGTACGATTACATTTTTGTTTAATTGGCAAACAAATATTTAATAAAATATATTAATTTAAAAAAAGGAAAAAGAAAAATGAATCTTTTCAATATAAAAAAAATATAAATATAGAAATAAATACATAATAACAAAATATATACATTCTAAGCATTTAAATAATAATATAATTTTAAAACAAGACCATTTATATAAATATTTATATACAACGTATTCTAATTATGTTATTCAATATTTTTCAATATTTCTCTCTAATAATTTATTTATAATAAATAAACACAATTTGAATGTAATATGTAAAAACATTGTGAAACGGTTACCTAGTTGAATGCAGAAATGTTCTCCAGAAGGAAACTGTATGGTTACACTTTGTTATATTACCAAACTTCCTGCAATATTTACATTTGATTAATAATTTTGAATTATAATATATATTGTATATATGTACAACACATTTTATTATAACATATTATACATTTATTATTTTAGAACAAATGAAAAAAAATTTGAGAAATATGCAATATATATTAACATTAAATATAATTAAATTAAATATAATAAAATGTATAATGAATTGAAAATGTTCTGAATAAAAATATGGTTTAAAAAACGTAAATTATTTATTATTTATATTGTAACTATTACGTACAATAACTTTGCTAGAACCAAGGAAAAGATATATATTATTTAAATTCAGTCATTTTAATATCATCAATCAAACATCTTCGATTAAAATTTAAATTGTATTAATCGTTACACATTGTTAATTAATGGAAATAGAGAAATTATATCGATTTTCTTAAGTCAATCATTAATGGATCTCTTCGCATTAAATTTGCTATTGTCGGCGACGAAACGATGGGATTTCACTTCTTCTTTTATAAAGGATAGATAGGATAATCTTCTCGATCGGGAGATTGTATTGTGTAGTCAGGATAGATCGAGTCTGAATATTTATTCCAACGTTAAACATGTATATATTATTGCGAAACTTATATGTCTTCAAGTCGTGTCGTGAACAACTTCGCTCCTTCCGAGCTGGGAGTTCCAACTTCGCCGTCCGTTCCGAGTTAAAGAGATGTTTAAGAGAAGATCTGATTTAAGACGTTCAAGCCGGGAAAACTCTCTCTCTGTGTCCGTCTGTGTGACTTTTCTCTGTGACTTTGTGTGTCCCGATTCCCAAAAGTCGGCATATATATATATACCCGGCGTTAAAAACCTTCCCACCCGAAATATCGGACCAATCGGCGTTACCTTCGTGTATCGAGCAGAGATGTGTTTTCGGTTTCTCCGATAGACAAAGGATCACTCAGAACGCTCTCGAAAATAAATAATACCTGATACGAAGTCAATAAACAAAACACGGAGATCAGATAATATCTTTGTCAAACAAATCTCTCTACCTCTCTTATGAGAGTTTATAAAAAATGCCGACAGCTCGGCCATCCCTGACTTTTTGACCGTCCCGGTCAACGTTATTATAAAATTACAAAACACAATATAAATAATCATACAAAATCATGCACGTATATACGGGCGCATTTAATCCGGTGCTCGTATTCTTGTATAGGGCCGCTGCGTTAGCTGGAACCCGTCAACATCGGTGATAACGTAACGATCGCGATCTAGAATTTTTCCCACGATATACGGGCCTTTATATTTTGATATTAGTTTTCTATTTATTCCGGCCGCCGTTTCTACATTACGTATTTCAACGTAATTGCCAACGCTATATTTATGGGCCGCTTTTCTGCGCAAATTATAACGTTCGGCGCCCTTTCGCTGCGCTTCGCATATCTTTTCGCACGCATTTTCGTGAGATTCGAATTTAAATATCGCATTCTTTCTTATAGAATCGTACAATGGTATCGCTAACAAAGAGCAATTAGAAATAAACCGGCGAAAATAACTAACCAGTCCGACAAAACGTTGTACGTCCTTGGCGTTTCGCGGCACCGGGTAATCAACAACAGAAGCAATATTTTCGTCTACTCGCATTTTCCCGGGATAACCTGATTCATATACTTCTTTGATTTGTGCCGACGCATCTTCTCCGATCGTAGGATTAATCCTCAGCTCGTCACACGCGTGAATAGAATTGTTATTGCAGTCGATGTGCATTAATGCGTTAATCGCGCGCGTCTCTTCGGTGCTCTCA